GAATATCTCTGATTTTACAGTACTACTCTTATGTTTTGAGCATAAGAGTTTTTTAAACAAATTTTTACTAAATTGATATTACATGATTATACGTAATCTTTAAGATCTACAATTTAAAATACAATTTTATGTTTTTAAAAACCCTAATGTCAATATTTGATATTGCGACATAAGGTATAAAAGGTATAACGAAATTAATCAATGAAGTAGGCAAGTTGAAAATTTATGAATGAATAGTTGAAATTACATGTTATTTCGAACGATTATGGTCTGAAGTGGTCCCCCAGTGCCTAGACAGGATTTCCTTTAATTGACTCTTGAGTAATTGAGGTGAAATTTGTATATACATTAACCGTTTATATCTATTCATTCAATGATAGTATGGATAATGAAAATCCATATTTAAATATAAAATTTCTGATGTCATCTGCCGAGCATGTACGCCCCCCACTATGCTTCGTAAACTCCCGAATGTCGGTGAGTCGGTCAGAAGAGCTCTTCATGCGGCCACAACTTAACGCTCCGCGCCGGTTCTTTGGAATTTATAACACTCTATCCTACATTTTTAAAGTAATACTTGACCGCTTATATTCTGCCAAAATTTATTGTAGTGAATTTATAACTGCTGCTTGATTATATAAATAAATATTTTAGGAAAGTTTGTTTAAAGAATGAATCAAGTTGTATCTTTTTAAATGACAACATAATTATGTAGTTTTTTATTGTAATAATTTAGTTTAAGAATGATTTTCTTAACATTTGTGCAGTCTGAAAGGCTCTCTACTGCTGTTAAATTTTCATCCTGATACCCTGGAAAATTATTTTGGACGAGCTGGATAGGTCCATTTAAAAATATTCAGCAGGTTAAGGTTAATTAATTTTTCCTACTGGCTTTTACGAGCCATTATATCTAATTACCCGCAGCAGTTATTTTAAGCCCCGAAAAATTACCATAGACGTTAGTTGAAGTATTTGCTTTTTCGTACCATTGAAATGGTTGCAGTTTACTTAGTTCTGTTCCAACATATAGATTAGTTGAATTTTTAGTTCACTGACATATTTTGCTATTATTAAAAGTACAAAGTTTTGCCGATTTTATAAATTTATTACCGAGTGAAGGAGAAAAGTACACAAGGCTCGTTTTGTTAGCTCATGGAATTAAAAGTTTAATATGTTTGCATTAACTCTAATTGATACATTGATAATGTTTGCATTGGACGATATGGATCCTAATATAGATTTGTCATTGTTATGTATTCAAGGGTCAACTCACAGAAAATTTAAATAACAAGTTACAACAGTTTTTGAAATAAACCATTGATATTTATATAAGTCTACCTTGAGAAATTGAATATCATGATTAAACAGCTTGTTGTTATACAGTGGTACATTATACTAGGTTAAAAAGCTATTTTTAGTGACCATTTCTTTATATAGGTTTTTATTATGGTTGTTAAATGAATTAAGTAAAAATAGAAATGTTTTTCATAATAATTACCTACGTTGTTATTTTAGAACTATACCAACTAGTCATGACAGCCCCTTTTCAGAGTGCTGATGGAAATAATTACTTCACATTTGCTATCATATAAACTATACCATTCCATGCCAGCACTCATCCCTTGTGCAAATTCTGACTCTCAGTTCTTGTATTTTCAGACAATCCAAATAAGGGCACTTCTTTTGCAATATATTTTCATAAATATTTGGCCTTTATCCTGCACTCCACAAATGAATTTACCCATGCGACCATTTGCAGACCAAAAGTAGCCAGCACAACCGTACCACCTGATCGATGATCTGAACTGTTTGCTATTCACTCAGTATATAAAATTATACATATTTTGAAATTTTCCTTTAAAGTGATGAATGGTTTTATCCAGATTAAAAGATGGACAAATCCATTTAAAATATTTATTGGAGCTATGAATTTAAGGAAGAGTAATTCATTTTCATACATGTAGGATAGTAATTTTTCTTTTTTAGCCATGTTTTTCTTAATAATAGATCTATTTTTCTGTAGATAAAATTTGCAGGGAATAAAAAGTTTCATTATCAGAAAGATTTCTATCTTCTAATGGGATATATTATAAACTTCTAGTGAGATAATGTAGCGTAAAACCGTTTTATTTAGAAGTCAAACTATGGTCTAAATATAATGTTGTCTTTCGTTCACCAATTTTTAAGTCGGGTACTTGACATTTTGACGTTTTGTCATAAAACATGCATTTCAAAAGCTTTAACATTAATTTATGTACTTGAACGTATTGGAAATAAATTAAATTTTTTTGTCAACATCCATTACGGAATTCTTTAACCTATTTCGGTTTTCTTAGCATAATTAATTGGTTGTTTTGCACGACCTTTAAATGCAGGTTAACTCGTAATTGTTACGCAGATGAGTTATGGAGTTTAAAGTTTGTTTAAAAGCCTGTTTAATGTAAAAAAATTATAAAGTAAACATTGCGCAGTGACTTTTATACGGAGTATGTCACTGTCACAGTCTTCGTGTCGGCTTTTCTCTCGAGACCTCCTGTCTGACAGTTAAATCTTAACCTACTGAATTGATGCGATGAATTTTCTCTGCTGTGAATATGGATCTGTCCAATTTATTAAGTTATTTTGCACATTTACCCAGATTCAGTTAATTAAGCTCCATTATTTTACTGGTGTTAAAGGCCCATTTTGCCTCAGAAATTTTTTTATTTCTCTAAACCTTTTTAGCTCGACTATTCGAAGAATATGAGAGCTATTGTAGTCGCCCCGGCGTCAGCGTCCGCATCGGCGTCTGCGTTGGTTTAAGTTTTTTGTATTAATTCAATATCTCAATTATTGCTTGAGATATTCAATTGAAACTTACAATACTTATTTATAGTAAAAATGTACATCAGATTGACAAGTTGGATAACTCTGCCTATAATATTTACAGAATTATGCCCCTTTATAACTTAGAAATTTTGGTTAAAGTTTTTTTGTAAAGTCAAATTTCTCAATTATTGCTTGAGATATTCAATTGAAATTTACAATACTTATTTATAGTAACAATGTACATCAATTTGCAAAATTGCATAACTCTGTCTGCAATATTTGCAGAATTATTTCCCCCTTTGAAACTTAGAAATTTTGGTTAAAGGTCTTCAAAGATATTTGCTTGAAACTTTACACATGTACTTAGGGTCATAATTGGAGAGTCATAATTGTATGTCACTGACCAAGTTCCATAACTCTACTCGCATTGAGGCTGATTCATCTCCCCAGTTTTCTACTTAGTCTCTTGGTTAATGTTTACATGCAAGTTTTACATATCTCAATAACTATTAAAGTTATTTATTTAAAACTTCACATATGCATTTAGAATCATAATTGTAGGTCACTGACCAAGATCCATAATTCTATCTTGCATTTAGGCTGATTTTTCTCCCCTTTTTCAACTTAGAAACTCATGGTAAAGTTTTGCTTGTAAGCTGTTATCTCCATAACTACTGAAGAGTTTGTGCCTTTTTTGGGACATTTTTATGCATTCAAAATAATAAAGCAGTGATTTACTTGATAAAACATCTTAATAACAAGCCTTTGTACCTTTTCGGTCAATTTTATGTATTCATAGGTAATTAGCATTATTATACTTACTGTTTACATGATTACACAAATTATTTCGCATTTATCTGTACTTTCTTCAGGTAATTAATTTACAAGCATCTAAAATTTCTCTGAAACCATCCCTTATTTAAACATTATAAAATTCATGTTTGCTCTTTCTTAAGAAGTGAAAATACTATCGCTCAAACTCCACCGTGAATGGACTCTCCCAAAGTCAAAACTGGACATGTCCATTTCACAAATTCTGCTTGGTATGGGATAAGGTACGGACAAAATACAGAAACATTTAGAAATTAAACATTGATTGTTTGCAAATCATTTGAAATTTGTCACTTTAACATTGGACATTGTACTTATTTTTCTTTCATACTTTGACACTAATAAGGTCAAGACTATAAGTGCCCCATTTTTAAACAAGATTGAATTTCAGACTCTTGAAAAGAAGTGATTTTCTTTAATCTTACGTTCACGGCTGTAGATAAAATCTTTAATTTTTCCGAAGAATGTTTTTATATAAGTCCTCTCAAATTTTATCCAAAAAAAACTACCTTTGAAGTAATTAACCATGTCCAGTATTTTTATATATCAAAAGTGTAATAGAATGTTTTTCTTTCAGAACGGCCAAAAAGGCTTGTGAAAATATTTAAAATAAATTTGAAAAGAGGTAGGCCATTGTTGGAAGAAGAATACAATTTAGCTATTCATAAAAAAAATATATTTTACTCTTAACTGATTAAGGTCACCATTTTGGTTTATTTTCACATGGTATTGTTAAAGTATGTTACATATGCGACATATCATGTTTCCATAGTTTAAGTCATTTTTTTCCCCGATGCACGTCTATGCTTTTTTTGTATTGTACTATTTAATTTTTTTACGTGTAAAAAGTACATCTACTTTGCGTAAAAGATGCTATAAGAATGTGATCTTTTTAATTTTTTTAAGGGAGTTAGATGCAGGAGTTATTGCGAAAATTTTTGGATTTTTATCGAAAGGATCAAATACGAAGCATTACTGCTGGTCATAGTGATTTGACAAAATAGTGGATTAAATTGTTGCTTTTTGTAACAGGCTAAAAATTTCACTTTGTAAGGTCAGAGCAGTGGGAGACTATAGAAAAGTTCACTTAGATTTGTGTGCAATTAGCCTAAAAACATAAAATTGTGTCAGGACGTGGCCTTTTAAAGCAGCAAAGTACATACATATTGGTTACTGTTTTATAAATAGATCTACTGCTGCCATCATAATATGTCTGGAACAACTTTTTCATTAAAAAACTTAAAAGACTGGGTGTAATTTTTATTGTATAAAAGCAAATATAATATTATGTTGGTGGTAAAAATGGTTGAATAAGTCGGACATAGCTTTAAGCTCTAAGTTACAATCTGAAGTCATTCATGCACGAAAAAAGGACAATGGCAATGAGGCGAGTTCTGGCAATGCCCGTCATGCCAACGGTAGGTAATAACATAGGGGGGACATTATTATACTAAGCGGACAATCATTCTTGAATAGTCATGTCAAACAATTTGCTATGTAACAGAAACGGTCTTTCTATATTCATTGAATATTTCATTTTGTTTTCACACAGCAAATTGTTTACTGTTTAATATGTCTTTTAACATTAATTTTTAAGACACAAGCATATAGAATTATTAATTTTGCCTTCGTCGGGCCGTCAAACTGTCTGTCAACAGTGGCATGTGGAGGCATCCATGTTCTATGGGCACACATTGGTAGTGGACACAATTTGCTAGTTTAAATATTTTTTTTAATGTTATTATAAAACCTGTAACAAGCATTTGTATCTTTTACAAATTAAAGAAAAAAACAAAAAACATTTCATGCACTTTTCAAAGAAATTACACTATTAGAATTCCAGTATACTTTTAAATGCATAGTTACAGTTTATTCAAGTTATTTACGGTATAGATTGTAAAAAACTACATCAATTTAGAAAATGTTGTCATTATGATCTACGCTGTACAAAAAAAGCAAGAAATTTTATGACCATTCATAACAATTGAAAGAATGTGAAATTAGAATTCTTTTGTTTTTTCCATCCCTGTAAGAGATCATTGATAAAATTGCAACATTGATGTGGGTGTTTTTATGAGGCATTGTCTTAAAATTCATATTGGTACATTCTTCATATACAGCATTGCATGAAGTGGGAATTATTCTTTTATGGTTAAAATAAAACCACTACAGGCAAAATTCATCAGATAGGCATACGGTAACTTTTTGAAATGCAATTTGTTTGGCAAAGGGAGGTAATAATGAAATAGACAAAACAAAAAACAAAATCTGCAAAGGTTGGACATTAATTTTACAACTTCCAACTATTTTTCCAATATTGGCTGGTTTGTAACTCTTATTACCTTCTTAATTTGTGCAAAAATGTGTAATGGAATTGCCTAATTCTTTGAATTTGGAATATTCCATTTGAATTTTAAGGGATATCAATATCAAAATACAATTTTTTTTTTTTAAGAGCTTGGTCAGACTCACTCAGCATAGATGTGTAGAGCTTAATGGTCAGACACACGCAGCATAGAATGTGCAAACTGGCCTGGCTCTATACTGATGGCAATGGCTGATCTGATTCGGTTCCATCAGAGCAAGACACATGAGCCGCGTCACGACAAAACCAACATAGTGCGTTTGCGACCAGCATGGATCTAGACCAGCCTGCGCATCCGCGCAGTCTGATAAGGATCCTTGCTGTTCGCTATCAGTTTCTGTACTTGTAATAGGGTTGGTAAGCGAACAGCATGGATCCTGATCAGACTGCCCGGATGCGCAGGCTGGTCTGGATCCATGCTGGTCGCAAACCCATTATGTTGGTTTTGTCGTGACGCGGCTCACATAATAATGCATATGAGTCATTTCAGTCCAATATTTGTGAAATTTTAAGGATGAAATAAAATTATGTTTGAGCATGTAACTTGAATAGTGTTTATTAAGGGAACAACATAATTTTTAAAAGAGTGATAATATTATAATGTCTCTATTGTTGACCATCATCTGAAGGTTTTGATTACAACTTTATAGAGTCCAAATATTGTCCGAGCCTCACATTGCCGTATAACAATATTGGTTATGATGTAATATTCTGTTACGCTAAGGACAATCTCAAATTTTATCACTATGCGATGACGTCCGTAGATATATAAATGACAATAAATGACCTTAATTAACTATTGTATTAAAAATTCTTCCATCGCCATATTTGAAGGAAAATTCATTTTATGTATAGTGCCCTTGGAATAAGATTTGTAACTATATACATGTATAATTACAATAATAGTTAAAGAAATTTTACTTTTATCAACTGCATTATTTTATAGTTATGACAAAATGTAATACATTTTGATAATTTTTACACATATGTGATTGGACTTGATACTGAAAATTGGAATAATACTAAAAATGGAAGTTCAAATTTTTAAGTGCTCTTTCAGTCTTACCCATTAAGATTCTTTTTCATGTTGTTTATTCATAAAGGAATTAGTTTGGTCATCATCAAAGGACTGTCATGTTTTATGATATACATATGATGGTGGAAACCATCTTTCACTTGGAGAAAATCAACAAGTTTTTACGGAATGTTGCTGGGGTAGGGGGTATAGCGGCAAGGACTCGTCAAGAGATTACTACAAGGGTAATGACCTACTTTTTTGCTACATGTAGATGGGTATTGACCTATTTTTCGATGCATATATTGTGACTTATTTTAAGATGGACATTATTACAATTTTTTTTTAATAATAAAAAAATTACAAATTTATTGTTACAGAATGAAAATGTAATGACCTACTTTTGCTACACTTGTAGTGACCTACTTTTGCTACACTTGTAGTGACCTTCTTTTGCTGACCTACTTTTGCTAAACTTGTAGTGACCTATTTTTGTAACACTTGTAGCAAAGCATGTTCATTACACATAGGCTATGATGACCTTTTGTTATGCATGTACGCAAAGTGACCTACTTTTGCTATGCAAATGTCATGACCTTATTGCTATAAATATACTGTTATGACATTCATTATGACCTTCTTTCGCTCTTTATGTACATGTAGTGACCTGTTTTGTTACACAGATGTAATGACCTTATTGCTAATAATGACACCAGTGATGTATCTTGATTGAAATTGTATTCCTAATGCTACTGAATGTAGTGCAATTTTACATGAATAGTATTCCTCATTGAGGATCTCAAAGTAATCTTTTTAAGTTATGTTAAATTGATATCTTTATAGTCACTCTCCTTCATTTAAATAATATATAAATATATCTTCAGAAAAATTTAAAGTAGCAATGTGCGATAGTTTAATACAATCTAATATCAGTTGATAGTGCAGCTGGGTGTTCAGTCCGCAAATATTTCAACGGTGGTATGTACTGGTTAACACAACCAGCACGATAGCTGAGATTATTTCCGATTATCTGGATTATCTCATGTTATTCTTTCTGATTATTTTTTAGGCTTGTTCGTAAATATTTTGACGTAAATTGTGAAACTGCTTACTTGTTAATGACTGTTACATGAAAACAGTTTAAGAGATACAGGAATCTTTTTAAGTATGTCCCCCGTCGAGGATAACCTTGAGGTGACTTGAACATGAATTTTTTGCAATGACACTGTTGTCCCGTTGGGTGCGAAATATACTCCTACGCAATAAACATGACACTCTCACAAACTCGAGGATTTCCGCAATAGTTTCAAGTTAGATAATAAAAGTATGTCATTTGATTTAGCACTAATTGGCCAAAGTCCCAGTTTAGAGTCTATCGAAACTCTCACTACGTAAATTGTGAAATCATTTGGACAATCCTAGGTGACCTGAATATTTTCTTACGAAGAATAAATTTCATAAATGTCACCGAAGACATATTTATTAATTCATTTTTTGACAGATTATAACTCCTTACAGAATGACTGTAAAAAAAGCAGAATGTTACATGTTGTGAATGAATTTGCAAAATATTTTATTAGAAAACAGTCGTAATCATATACGATATATATTTCCAAGAAACTCATTCATACCACAGAGGATGCGATTAATTTCTCATCCATAAATATGTCAAACGCCACTTGTTTTTACGTTAAAATCATTGTTATACAAACATGATTGATTTGTTGTCATAGGTCTATCAAGATACATCGCCATTTCATTACGTGACGTAAATCGAGACTAAGTTATACATCGCCGACGTACAGTACTTGCATCATTGCTAAGAAGCTTTTATGCAGTCAAGGCTAACAGTGATCGTTTCGATCACAGTAGACTGTTTGATATTTAAAATCGTAGGTTTTTACATGGAGGGAAGGTCGTTTGCGAAATCGGTCAAATGTTGTTATTTTTCATGTTGTTTATTGTGGCTTATCCTCACATGACAATGTGTCTGATTTGCATAGGTCACATTCCAGGTGGCATATTTGTTGTAAAACATTATTTATTTAGATAAATGGGAAGAATAGTTGAGGTTTTACGAGGAAAATGGCTCAAGTTACATACATGATGATTTTATGATGGACATGTATCCTTATTGTACAAATAAAATTATTATGATGTTTCAGTCGGAATACTAATAAGATAATAATATATGGTCTTTAAGCTTTGCTTCAGATTATGGGTTGTAATTGTATAATGTTGCTTTGAAAGCACATATACCAGTGATATCTAAAAAAAAAATATGTTTATGACAGACCTTTAAAGTAATTTATGTTGAAAAATTGATAGATGGACAAATCCATTGTGGTAAGGGTGAAAGTCAAATCAAATATTTCTCTATTGACTAGTTTATTTCAGTCATTTGATTTTGAAACTTAAAATTCTAGGCAAGGCATTAGGTAATCAAACATAGTCAGTGTGATATATAAGGGTAAAATGATGAATGTCCATAATTATAAAAAATAATACAAAATGTACACAGTTATATTTAACACAGATATTACAATGTCCTCGGTTTTACTTTAGCCTTTACTTTAGCCGAGCTGGAAAAAGTAAGCTGATAAAGTAGTCTTTACAGAAAGTTTACGCGACTAAATGGAGCATATAAATTGTATTTATACAGAAGATTTTATAATCTACTTATTTGTTTAGATTTCAAGTTCATTGTCAGGTTAGAAATATCTGGTACCATGCAACAAGCATGTGACTGTTGAAAACAAGCCAGATCATAATCACGATACAGTAAAAAATAAAAGATCAGACATTTTTTAAGTGCAATCTACAATTTGTGTCCGTCCTTTGAATTTGAGTTCAATATCAATGACAAAGATGAAAGTTAGTGAACAAATGACAAAAACCCTAAAACAGTTAGAATATTAGGTAACTTGGCAGTTCAGGGTTTCTGTAGAATCTGTTATTGAATAGTAGACTTTGAAGGCATCTGTGACATTGTTGTTCCTAAGTATAAAAGAGATTGCCCATTTCAGTCAGACTTGTACATTTTGTTTGAGACTACCAAGGTGTATATTTAAGTAGTTCTTTAAAGATTTTTCAAACTTTTGTTGCATAATATTTCTGCAAGATTCTTGCTAGAGTAATGTTTATTGTTGTACATACAAAAACTATACAATGAACTAGTACTTTTCCTTAAGAAAAGCTTCTCATTTTGGTAAACTGAATCTTTAACCAAACTTTGTGTTTTATATTTTCAGGTACAAAGAATTCCTGAATATGACAAATATCTTAATGAGCTTCTGCAAGAGACAGATCCTGGTCATCCAGACTATGATCATCTGAGTCGTGCAGCTGCTAAAGTCAGACATGTAAGTATCATACAAGTAAAATGGTTTCCTGCGGGGAACATTTTTAATGATATAAAGATATTTCATTTAACTACTTACAACATTGTTTGGGGGGGTGGGGGGGATAAATAAACGTTTGTATCAGGTTTATAGTTGACAATAATCGATCAATATAGAAGAAGGTCTTTGGAAACTGGTGACCGTTGATGACCGGAGAAGGTCGAACATAAAACAATTATTTATTTTCAAGAAAATGATTAAATAGGCCTACCATTTTATGCATAATTCCGAACAAAAAAAAAATAATAAAGTAAACACACATGTTTTCGCAGAAAATATCTCTATTTATTATGGCAGATAACACTACGAATATTTTAATTTTGTAGATTTTCAGTATAAACAATTTATTGTTTGTAACAATTTGAGATACAAAATTGAAAATATCTAGTAATAGTTTTTTTGTTCTTAATTAGGTGTAATTCTGACTTATTCCCTAGAGGATTATCCGTAATTTACCGGCAAACGGTATTTAGCCAGGTTTTCGAAAAGGTCAATTAACCAATCATGTACGGTTTACAGATCACATGCTCCTCCATGTACCGAAAACAGGTCACGTGCTCCTCCATGCCTCAAAAGTTAAACGCGTACCAATACCCTGCGGTCTCCAGACCGCAGGGAATGATAGCTTTTTGTCAAAGTGTCTGAATGACACAGATTCCAGTCGTGTGACTGCAAGCATCTCTTTGAATCAGATAATCAAACTGGGTATTATTAAAAAAGTTGTTAAGTTCTTTCTTTCTGTCATAAAAAGACATACAGCTGTGTATAAAGAGGTCAAGGTCATTCAAGATGCATGATTCAATTAACTTTCTATCAGAGAAAGAGGTGAAGGTCATTCAAAATATATTTAATAAAGATGCATCCAAAAGGCTAACAATACATTGGTTGGAGTGAATTCTTTCATTTCAAGAGGTGGGCGGACTGATTTTCAAATTTTGTTTTAATAACCTTGGATCACATGGAAACTTCGTTTTGATTGCGGTAGGTCTGTGGTTAATAATATGACATGATATAGGTTGCTGGCCTTGTCAGGAATAATAATCGAAGGTCTTCTACCTCTCTTAACTGGAGAGTTGCCATATGACCTTTGTTAGGTATATATATTATTATTATCATTATTACCTATACTTAAAAGCTATCTGAGTTTGAAATGGTATTTCAATATATATTGAAGTATCCAATAAGATATACCGTACCTCAAAAGTATTTAGGATACATTGATGATTTCATCAAATTATGATGATTTTATCAAATTATGATTAAACCCGCATGTTTCGTAGAATTTCTAGAAAATTTACATTGCAACTTTTATTATTATTCAAGTTTTTAATAAATTAAATGTTGGATTTTTATGAAATTATTGTAAGACATGATAATAGTATTTTATCTATTTATTTTTTGGATGTTAAGTTGCATTTAAAAGTCTGTGAACATCATTGCACATATTTTACATGTTTTAATAGAATTTGATACTTAGATTACAAAAATCATGTTGAAAAAGTGTTTTGAAATGTCCTGCATTATTTTTTGTGTGACAAATTCCTTAGGTTTCATTGTTGACCTAATATTATGGTTGATAAGATTGTATAAATTATTTGGTATGACATGTTCTTTAAATTTCAATTTGTTGCATTACAAGTGTTAAATGCATTTAACCCTTGATATGCCTCTTGAATATTTTTTTAGCCCAGAGTGCAAATAGTTTAACGCATATTTTTTATAGGACGCAAGTTTGCTCTTGATATTTTATGGAAGCTTGTATTATTGTATGATGTCCATATAGTAAATTGAGCAGACGGCACATTACAATGCTGCAGACAGCACTTAAAAATTGTCGACCAAAGTTGAAGATTGACATTTTTGTAAAGCAGATACTTTCATCGGTTGTTAGAAAATCTGTTTCCCCAAAATATACAGACTCAAGTACACGCTTATAGCATACTTAAACATTAGTTCATTAAATTTCTTTAGGTTAAACGAAATATTATTCTGGCATGGTTTTATTTTATTTGTTCAAAATATTACACTATACAAATAAATTTCATTGAGCAAACAAAATTTACCATAGACACATTGCATAAAGTAGTATTAAAATCATATTAACTTAAAAATTGAGCAATGTAATTCTTAAAGGGACTCCACTGACGTATTTTTAGCATGAAGGGACTTAAAATATTTCTTCGAGACTTATGTACTGATTTTCAGTAAATTTCTATATTGTCCTGTGCTGATTTTTTTTTCATGCATCGACACTTAATCTATGCAAGAATTTCAAATTTTATGTTTTTAGGCTTTTTGACCTCAGAGCTTTAAATAACTGTCCCAATTTTTGCATGTTCTATGGATTGATTTTGCCAAAAATATCATTCTCATATTTCTTTAGATGAAATGATGCAATAAGGGTCACGTCATCAATTGGATTTTAATAGCATGACCTTACATTAAGTGATCTATACAACAAAGCAGTAAAAAAAATTGTTTAGTTTTGTTTTGTTTTTTTTACTTGAATTTGATAGATGTAGTCTCCCATAACTTGAAAATATTGCTTTAATTTGAATATTAATATGTCACTTGCGTCATTTACAACTAACCTGTTTTAGATTCATTCATCATATGAAAAGAATCTGTAGTCGCTGTTTTATGAACTTGTCTATTTTTCAAAATAGGTCATCTATGAATTACAGCTTATATGACCTTTTAAGTATGTAATAAAAACTGAATTTGAAAAAAAAATGTCTTTGAATGTAGCCTACTTAAAAGAATTTTGGGAAAGAAAATGATGTCAATTTGTTTTTATATGTCCAGGCAGTTATATAATCATAATATTTTACCTACATGAATATTAATGAATCAAACTTACCGGAACAAGTGGGGTAAATGTCCTTGGCATAATGGTGAAGGTCTTTGACTTCAAACCACTTGCCCTACATGGTAGACTGGTAGTGGGTTTGAAACCCACCAAGGACCCACCAAGGACTTTGGATTGTGAGGAATCTATCAAGCTAACTTATGGATCTGTTGTCAACTTGTGGTTCTACTCAGGTGCTCAATCGTGTCAGAAAAAATGCATGGAGGTCCTCCTCAACCAGTAAAGCTGAAAACTTGCCATATAATCATATCTGTGTCTGTGCAACATAAAACAAAACCAAAAAACAAACATACAAAATCAGGACATTAGTACAATGAATATAAGGCAATTAATTTTAATTTCTGAATAAATGGGTATTGAAAATACAATTGATGGGCTTGACCTGTTGAGTTTCTTATATGAACTTGTCCAGCTTCCTTTTTGGGACTGTCCATTATCAATTTTTGGGATTTCATGATGGAAATGTCAAGTTGGTTGGCTAACAGTATAGAGCCTTGTCAGATGGCAAGGAGGTGCAGGCTGGCCTGGCTCCATACTGGTGACAAAGGCTTTAAACTTTCAGTTTCAGTATGGTAGGGGTTAATGCTCTTTAGAACATTTCATATGTTAACCAAGTCGTTGAAATGATTGTGTCATTTCTCAACTAATTTTGCTTTATCTATAGCGTCTGCCAAATGCTTACTTGAGAAAATTAAGCTGTACATAAAATTGAATAGTGTCAGTCATCCTGGAAAAATATACAAAAGGGAACCCTATTACTTAATAATGAGGAAAAACTAGCTTCATTTTTAAAACACAAACAAATGTTTACCACAAACAAAAATTTGGGATATAAAATATTTAGAATTGAAATCCAAGAATCCACATGTCATGATGTGCAACCAGTGTTTTCATGCCTGGAAAGATGATATATTATGTTTAAATCTTTTGTTCTCATTCTATTTTGTTGCATTTAGAGCATTTAATACTCTTTGGGGTAAATAGAATTCCTTTTGGTTTTAAGTTTTCATCTTTGTTGCATTTTTTAAGTAATTTATACTCTTTGGAGAAAATAAGATCTCTTTTGGCTAAATGGAATGTCTTTAGGTTTAAAGCTCGCAAAGGATCCTGTGACTTCAAGTCAACCACATTCATGAAGGAATTAACCACAAACAGGTGCTGTGGATGTTTTTAAACGTTATTTAAAACATGGCAACCAGAACACACAGATTGAATGAAGAAGTTTCATTTATCTCAGATATGGAGGGACTTGATGAATTCAGGGCGTAGCGCATTATTTATGTAGTACGTCCATCTTTCATCTATAAATACATTCTGTACTTTTTGTGACAAAACTCCATGTTTGTTTTACTTTGGTATATGTCCAAAATGGTACATTTATGATGACATTAAGTATTTTTTCGACCATATTAAGATGAAAAATTGCTTAAAAATGTAACAGAATACATTAATTTGACTATATATTATAAACAAAGTAGCAAGTGTTTTTACATTAATTTTTTAAGTGGTTAAATGAATAAGATACCTGTACGGTAAAAAAATTGCTTACTTGCAAAAATGAACTTTTTAATTCGCGCTTTGTTTTAAAGAATATTCAGTCTTCAGACTATCATAAGCCAAAGAATAAAAACTAATTTTTCTTTAATAATTATCTGCCCTTTGGATTTTTACGGGTCTCAGGGCAGTTTATTTAGCTCCTTTTTATAGACTTCATTGTTTTTTGTTAGATTTTTTTCTTTCAATAAGGTAAACAATTTACAGAAAGAATAAATACCTGGAATCTAATGACCTCAACTATTTTATTGCCATCAATGAGTAAGAAAAGACAATAAAGCAAATTCTTGGCATATATTGCGTTCCTTAGCTTATATAAATAAATGCCTCGCATTCCACGTGAAATTTTAATCAAAAGAATGGGCTTCAATCAAACATGCTTTTATGTCTTACAGAGAAGATTCTGCTTGATGTTTTATAATCAACATCTACCCTACTGAATTTATGTAATGGACTTGTCCTATTTTGAATTTGGAACATTTCATTGTTTATTTAAGGGATTTCAATATCAATATGCTAGGAAAACAGTGCAATGTGT